CTGCCCCCCACGGGCTGGCAGCTCTCCGCCCCACCCACGCCCACACGCGCGCCAGCGGGCTGGACCCGAGCGGGCAGGCCCACCCCGCCCCGCAGGCACCGCTCCCGCCCGCCGAGTGTGTTATTAGAAAGCGTGGGGCGGGGCCGGCGCTTGGCAGGGCCACAGGGTGGGGAGCAGGTGGTGGGCGTGGGGCCAGGCGACAGCGGCGGTGACCCCACGGCAGTGACCGGGCAGCCAGGCGGCGGCTCAGGGGCCAGATAAGGCTCTTCCGGCTGACTCAGTGTGGTTCCCAGGGCTGGCACGGGCTGCGGCACCGCGCCAGGGCTGGCGGGCGGGCACCCTCCCTGTGCTTGCCACGGCCCGGCTGGCTCTGCGCCAGCAGCCACAGCGGCTTTGATGAGGCAGGTGCGGCCCGGGAGGGGAGGGCCAGGCTCCCAAGGGGCTTCCCGACGCTCCCCACTTCTCCTGTCGCCCCACTCCTATGCACACATGGCCCAGGGCTCCCGGGGCCCCAGGAAGAAGCTGGCACCAGCGCTGGGACCGCCAGGGCCGGCGACCCCGGGAAAACAGCCTGCCTCAAGCACCCAGGGAACTGCTGGGCTCAGAGCTGGCGCCCGGCGCCCAGGGCTGCACCTCCTCCCCAGCTCCCCTCCGCCCTGGTCCTGCAGGCCCACCCTGCTGGCGTCTTCCTCCGGCCCAGGAGGCCCCTGCCAGCTCAGCTCCAGCCTGCCTGTGTTCTGCCCGCCCTTCCTCCCCACGCCTCATGCTTCATCCACGCGATGGCAAGCCAACCACGCTCTGTCTGCCTGGCAAAGTCCACCATCTCCCACAAAGCCTGGGTCCCTCTGGGCCAGCCTGACCCAGAACCAAGGAAGGCCTTCGTCCACTCTGGCCTCTCCAGAAGAGAAGACCCCGAGGCCTCAGCGCGGCCCCGCCCAGCCCCAGCCAGGGCCTCGGAGCCCAGGCGTCTCCGTCTCCGCAGAGTCTATGCCCCGACGGACGCAGGGAAAAGATCAGGGCGCTGGAGCCAGGCCGGGAACTTCGAGGGAACCCCGGGGAGGCCCGTGGGGAGGGGAGGAGAAGCGCCCAGGGCCCCCAGCCCCTGCCCTGAAACCCCTCGGCGCCAGCTCTGGGCGTCGGTCGCGGCTGGAGGCCCAGCAGCCTGGCCCAGTCACGCCTGCCGCCTCACCGGCGTTGTTGCGTATTTTCTCCCAGCAAGAACAGCATCGAGTGTTACTTGTAGAATCAAACCAAAGTAAAAAATATGTACAATGTGTATTTCCCATGACTAGAAATTCCAAGCGGGCAGAAAGGACCAGGAAAACACTCAATGGGACCCCAGCCCCTTCCAGTGCCCGAGGCTTCGCCTCTGAGGCCACAGGGTCCGGCAGAGGCAGACGGGGAACCAGGGGCCCCCGGAACCTGCAGCACACGCCGACCCGGCCGCGGCTGCCCGTGTCCTCTGCCTGTGCCGGGGCTGACCCTGGCCCCCATGTGCGCAAGCCCCTCCATTTCAGACAAGGAAACAGAGGTTCTGAGAGGACACAGGCCCCCCAGGCCCCCGGCCAGCGGCCCTGGCCCGTGACTTCAGCCCACGATGGCCCTGGTGGCTGCAGGCTCAATCCCAGCTGCCACCCCCCACTGAGGTGCAGGCGAGAGCACCGGCCTGGCTCCCCCTCTGCGTCCCCCCCCCCCCCCGCACGAGACCAAGGGGCGGCACCGACGCCTGTGACCGCGGCCTTCCAGCTGCCCGAGCTGAGCGCGCATCGCCAGAGCCGCCACCTGGAGTTGTCGCGCAGGGCGAGCAGCTCATTTGCAAGTTACTGGTGAGCAAACGTTACCTTGGAAAGCAGGGAAAACCCCAGCATTTACTACAGATCAAAGCCACAGGCACACACCAGGGCACCCCACAAAGACACCGAGAACCAAAGCCTCGGCCAGCCGCGGGACCCAGAATCAAAGGCTCCGGCCTCGGGCGGCTGGTGAGCTGCCACGGGCGGCGTGTCCACGCGGGTGACGCACGGACGGCCACAGCGGGTCCCTCCCGGTGCTGACCCGGGGAGAGGGTCCCACGCTTGGCCTACACACAGGCCGCCCACAGTGGGACAGCTGGATGTCCAGCACCCGTCCACGGGAGCGGCACACGTCCCCGCACGGGAACGTCCCCAGACCACAACAAGGGGGCAGCTCTGCCCTCGCCGCCACAGACGGGGCTAAACTCGCGACGCCCGGAGAGAAGCAGCACACGGGCCACGCGGCGAGGCCACGTGAGCCCACGTGAGACGGCCGGGACGGGCAGAGGGCTCCCGGCCTCGGGAGGAGGGGGAAGGACAGAGGTGAGCTTGCAGGTTTCTTTGGGGAAGGTGAAAATGTCCTGAAATGGGGTGGGGGCTGCAGTCCTATAACCCACGACCCCTGAATCGCGTGCTTTACGTGGGTGAGTCTGTGCTCTGTATATTTTATATCACTAAAGCTGGTTCTAAAAACCCCAACAGGGCCTCCCTGGTAGCACAGGGGTTAAGGCGCAGCCCTGTAAGCTGCCGCAGGCCCTGCAACACGAGTTCGATCCCCGGCCAGGGAGAGACCCCCAGGCCGCAGCAGCCCTCTCCCGTCTCCCCGCTGCTCCCCTCAGCAGTGGATCTCAGTGCACCTGCCTGTTCCGCTCCCCACTCTGTCTCTGGGGAGTCCTCTCGCCCTTGGCACTTGTGGCCTGCACCCCAGTTCTTCTATGCATAAATCTATAAATCTTTTAAGTCTTAGCCTTGTTGAAACTGAAGCTTTGAATGCTGAAGCAGCTGAAGACCTGTGGTTAAGGATCCACAGGTTTAAATTCCCACGTAGAGGCCCTCTCTGGTGGCGCAACAGGTTAAGCGCAGCACTATGAAGCCGTCCGCAGCCCCTGCATCCCCAGTTCAGTCCCGGGCCAGGGAGTGACCCACAGGGCACGGCAGACCCCTCCTGACCCGCTCGCTGCCCCCTCAGCAGTGTACATGTTCGATCCCCATTTTGCTCCCCACTCTGTCTCTGGTGAACCTTCATCCCCTGACATCTCCGGCCTGCACCCCAATTCTTGTATGCACAAATAAGCAAATCTTTAAAATAAAATCCCACGTGGGTATTTTCTAGAGCCCAGGCTGGGCCATGACAGTGGAGCCTCTGGGCCTGCACACCCCCACCCACGTCTCGACTTGGGCCCGTGATGCGGCTCCAGGCACTTGGTCTCCATCGGCACATGTCTCGGGGGCCCCACATCAGGGTGCCAGGTTTTCAGGGATTCTGTAGCCTGTTGCTGCCCCCCCCCCAGTCCAGCAGCCCCCAGATCCATAGCCGAAGGCCAGTTTCTCTAGCATGGAGAGTCTGTGGGAGGAAGTCAGCCCCAGGCCCTGCCAGGACTGGGAGGAAGAGGCAGAGACGCGCCAAGCGGTGGGCAGCCCGCCAGAGGGGCTGCCACGTGCCAGGAAGGGGGCGGGCCAAGTGCCAGAGTCAATACCGCCAGCATCTGCTAGGCTTCTGGGCCCTGGCCACTGTTGACTCTGACCGTACAGGTGCCCGGCCAGCTGGGCCAGAGGGCCTCCCCGGCAGCTGGACGCGCCACGGCAGAGTGGAATCAGGCCAGGCCTAGCGCGTGGCCCCAGCCTCCGCTGCCCTCGCACCCAGCCCACCTCCGCGAGGTCCACTCAGCGGCTCTGGCCCTAAGCGCGAGCCGGGTCCTGCTGGTCAGGTCGCCGTGCTCCCGCTCCGGGCTCCAAAGCGCTCACTGGACGCTGAGGCCAGAGGCCTCCCCCACTGCCCCACACCGTGTTTCTTCACCCCGCGGCCTTTGTATTTATTTATTTGCTGACCTTCTATTTGCTGACCTTCTCTACTCCACAACGGGTGACCTGACCTCCCAGTAAGAGACTGTCGCCTGCATCGTGGCCCCCGGCCCTGGGCCTCAACTCCCCACCAGTAACCCACCCTGGCGGTGCAGGGACATCACCATGCTGCCCCAGACAAAAGGACAGAGGCTCCTGGCCATCCTCGCTCCTGATGCGCCATGAGGCCTGGGGTCAGGGCACGTGGTCCCTGGCCCCCTTCTATCCTGGCCACCCCCAAAAACCCTCCTGCCCATGTGGTGCCTGAGGGGCTGGGGTTGTGGAGCAGGTAGGCTGGGGTCCTGTCAACCTCTGACCCACAAGGGCCTCTGGGGCTTGTCCCTCCCTCTGGGATCAGCCGTGACCCTATGAGACAGGCCGTCTGCCTGGCTCCAGCCTACCGTTCTGGGGCTTCCAAGAGCTAAGTTCTGGGCGCTGTAAGTGTGAGCTTTCCCATGGCCAAACTTAAGTCTTCGGAGGAGTGTCAGGGTCACAGCACCCCTGGGGCCCAAGGCACCCACCAAGGCTGAAAAGGAAGCCTCCGGTCTGGGTCCCCCACATCGGCATCTCAGTCTAACGGGAGCTGGGCCCAGGCTTCCTTGGGGAGGGCAGAACAGCCACACGTGCCCTGGTCCAGAGCCCAAAGGAGGCTTGAGCCGGGCCAGGGTGGCCAGGTTCCCACCGGCCACTCCCGGAGGTCAGGGCAGGGCCCAGCTGGCCGCTGGCTGGAATGTGAGCCTGGCCAGCCACCCCGTCATCTGGTTTCCATCTGCCCAGCACAGCGCAGCCCGACTTCAAAGGATCCTGCCTGGGCACTTCCTCTGCCCTGGGCGCCCACAGGGGAGGCACCAGGACGGCCGCTTCCTCCCTCCCGCGGAGCCCCAGGAGCCGTGACAGCGGCGTGGCCACCCCGCTCAGGCCCCTGGCCTCACAGCCTCACCCCGCTGCCCACCCCTCACTGCCATCCCCGGGCACGCCCCAAGCTTCTCCCTCGCTGCGAGTGGCCCACGCCTGCCCTCAGCGGCCGGCCCAGCCACCCCGGGCTCCCCCAGGAATCCCAGCGCCCAGTTCGGAGCCGGCCGACGGCAAGGCTAGGTGGAAGGACCCCAGGAGCCACAGTGCACCCCCGACTCGACGCGTGCCCACCTGCTTGAACTGCTCCTCGTACGTCCAGTCCCCGTGGTCCGGCGGCTGCAGCTGGGGAACCGTGTGAGCCGCCCCTCCGGGGTGGGCTGGCCCGGCCCCGGCCCGCTCCTGGCTGCCCAGCGCCCGGGGCCCGCCTTCACCGTGCAAGGCCTGGGCTGGCTGCGCCCTCCGAGGGAACAGGGCCGAGGGGCCTGGGGGCCCGAGCCCCTCCTCGTCCTCGAAGTCCTCGTCCTCCTCGTCCCCCAGATCTTCCTCCAGCTCCTCCTCTTCCTCCTCCTCCTCCCACTTCGGCTTCCTGGGGGGGCACAGGCACAGGGTCGGGGGGGGCACTAGCCAGCCATGCCTGGTCCTCACCCCAGCCTTGGGGTCCCTCTCTGAACACGGGGTGCTCCCCTGCTCCTGCTGCTGAGGGCCTGTGGGCATGACCACCTGAGGGCACGGGAACCCGTCCTGGCCCCAAAACAGCTGAACTGGAGCAGCCCTCAGGCGCACACCGGGTCAGTGCCCTCCACTGCCCAGTTCCCCTCCCTGCCCCGCCCCTCCGCAGCACAGACCTCCATGCTGGGCCCCGAAAGACCAGCTCCTGCCTCAGGGAGACGCCCCCCCACACGCACCCCTCCGCCCGCCAGGCCCAGCGCTGGCCCCTGCGCCCTGCGAGGGGCTCTCACGTCCACAGGAGACGCCACCCACCTCCCTCTGAAGCGGACCCTGGCCCCAGCCACCCCTTCCTGGCACCCCGATTTACTTCCCAGGGGCCCGCCTTCGCTCTCTCGCGTTAGGCCTCTTCCTGGGAGGCCGGAGCAGGCGGGACCGCAGCGGGTCCCGCGTGGCCTGTCCGCCTCTGCGCTGAACCTGCCCCAGCTCGCTGGCTACGTGGCCTGGCCACGCGTGGCTGGCTGCACTGAGGTGAAATGGAGTCCCACGCTGGAATCGCCGCTGCGCGGGTAGAGACGGTCCCCACCGCCACCCCCGGGGCCTAAGGGGCGCGGGCGGCTCGGCGGCCAGGAC